TGGGCATTGTCATAAACATATGAAAAAGTTGAAAGGCTCAATGTTATGGGAAGGATGATATTCCGAAACTCAATACCTATTTAGGGTTTGTATCTCATTACAAAAATATTTATTCCTTAAAAAAATACACAAATGTAAAATACTACACTTCCTATTATATCCCCACTTACTTTCCAAGTATGCCATTTGGATGTTTGCCTGCATCAAAAGGTAGAAGACCTTTTATTTCTCTAGCAACTCTATGCTGTCTTTCTGCTTGGATTAGTTTGTGGTATCTTTTTAATTTTAAATGTGAAGAATCAGTGGTGAACTTAGGTATAATGGTAGTGGAGTGTTAAATCAGCTGTTGGGGAAGTCCCACTAAATGTTTGCTCATGGATTCCATTGCTGTGGTAGCAATGCTGACTCAGGACCTGGTCCTACCTGATGCTAAGCACCATTTCATTTTGTGTTTTTCTCAGCAGAAGTAGCAATGCTCAGAGTTAGCCTCTGGGATCCCACCATCTTCGGCAAACCCAGCAGTGCATAAAAGCTGTACAGGTACATAAGGACCACCCAAATTACACCCTGTGTTAATCATTCATGCCCTGATCTTGCAGATGCCTACACACATTTTTCCTGTCAGTAGTCCTGTTGCCTGAAACAGGTCTACACACAGCAGAGTTAGACATATGCACTTTTGTTATCAGGAGTGAAGTCTCACATTGCACTGGTAGAGGTATGCTTCATGGAGAAGGGCTTATGCACACTTCTCTTGCTGGGGATTGAAAGATAATGTTGTGTTTATACAGCTTTGGAATACAGCCTGATTCTGTTATGAAAAAAATAAGGAAATCAAAGATACAAAAAGAAGAAGGAAACCCAAGAGTGCTAAGGCAAACTGTCAAATGGCACATCATACCTACTTTGTCATTCATTTAGATAACATCACAAAGGCAGGCCAGAGGAGTTCTGTAAACATATACCATACAGTACATCAGCCACGGGAAATTAAAAAAATCAACCCTGTAATTCTTTTCTTTCTGTATTGATATTCTTGTAATTGAAAGAGATTGCTTAGCCACTAATCATAATCCTGTGGTTTTTGATTTGTATTTTTCTTCTGTTAAAAAAAAAGAAAAGAAAGAGAATGGAAGTAAAATGCAGTGGTTTGCAAAAGAAAGAGTCCCTGAATGCAAACAAGGGACGACATGGAAAGTGGGTTTATAGAAACTTAGAAAATACAAAATATAAAAAGTTCCATAGGTTGCTTTTTTCCCAGTCTACGAAAAGATACACTGAAAAGAGGTTTTATTTTTGTTCTTCTTACAAAAGTTAAGGCGAGCAGTTTGTTGTGGCAAAATGCTATCACTGAACAAGTTTCTGACTCTACTTTTTTGTATCCCCTCATGCTGAAACTGAAAATGTACATGTGATGTCCTAAGTTAAACAGACAGGGATTTTGTGTAAAACAACACAAAACCCCCCATCCCATAATGATCCTTACAAAAATCTCTCTCTGCTTGACTGTAGAGCAGACCTTCCTTTATGCCTGATTGTGCATGAATTTCCACAAGCAGCTTCCTATCTGAGGGTGACAGGAAAACCGACATCTTCGTAGCCCAAAGCAGCCTCGGAACACCAGTTTACATTCATCAGCCTAGGCTAACACCTTTGAATTCCTGTGACTTGGCTGCAGGCCAACAGCTTGAAGGGACAAACCAACGTCCAGGCACAGCTACTGTCCTTGTGGAGGAGGATGATTGGAGAAAGCATGTTTAGCTAAGGCCCTGTGATTTCAGACCCATTTGCTCCTATTTTATGTTTTTCCTGACCTCAGACGTGGAACTGCCTTTGACCTGTAAAGACAAACCTTATGCAGACAAACCTTTAGCTTTTCTGGATCTACCGGGGCCTGTTAACTATGGAGTTCATGTGAACATATAAAAAACACTGGCCTTCCTAGGCACTCAGTGTTAGCTACAAGTATTGAGCAGTAGGTATTTGAGAGGTTTAAGGTTTAAGGCTTGTGCTCTACTTCTAACCACTGAAGGGCCACTTCTGTACTTTTGCATGCCACCATCTCCCCACCATGTTTTGCCTCAGATGGTGAAGTGGTCTCAGACACTTTCTGGTCCCAGCGTCAGCAAGCATCTCCCAAAGCTGGCTGCTAAGGGAGTCATCCCCAAAATGCTGAGTCAGTGCTGAACCAGAATGTCGTCTGACAGGGGAGCACATGGCTGAAGAGATGCTGGGACAGAATGGGTTAGGGTAATATGACACCCCAAGTTTTCCAAGCAGAAGGTTTTGAGAAAAAAATGTTCATATGGGGAGAGGAGCGGCAGGGAGAAAAAGAGGATGTGAAGATACCGTGAGGCCAGAGTGGCTTTGAAGGTGGCACCACACCCAGAGAGGAAAGGGTGGTGATCAATGAGATGACTGGTCAGGCCAGGAGGCCAGGGAGAATTTGTTTCCATGAGTTACTGGTGAGATGAGCAGGCCCCAGAGTGAGAGAACTATTGCAAAGCATGCCCAGTTCCCATGTCATTCACAGGTAGATGCAAGACAGAAAGGGCTTCACCCTTTGTGTTGCAGTGCTTTGGGGTCCTAAACGAGCATGGGGACAGTCTTGGCAGGGCACCCTGGCCTTGAAACTTAGGGTCTTGTTTTAAGAAATGTTGAGATTTGCAAATGCTTAGCATTTCTTGGGAAAAAAGAAAAAAACCCACACAACCCAAACAAAAAAACCCAAATCACAGACTGCTAGTTTCTAACAAACAGCCACCAGACCTATCATTGCAATATGGGGCTCTGCAGACCTTCCCCTCTTTGATAAAACTTAACCATCTAAGCCTGAGTCAAAGGTTGATGGGCAGAGCTTCTGTGGGTGAGTTTGGTCCTTCTCTGATCCAAAAGCCCCCAGGGGAGGCAGTGGGGGCACGTGGAAGTCTATTAATTTCTGCCACTGCAGTAGATATGGAGGTCAGCAAAACTTTTGCAGTGGTCTTATGGGTGTGGCTTTTACTACTTTCCACTTGGTTTTTTTCTTGGTCTGACAGTCACCTGGGCAGTGGTGAGGAGTTTCATTGATCAGCTCTATACTGATGGCTGAGTGACCTAAGATGGGAACTACCTTTTGCATTTTTTGTGTGTGTAGGTATTCAGTGTGCCTCATATTACCACCACTGTGAACAAGTGTCTTTTTCACTGGCACAGAAAGAAAAGAGTACAGAGCAAGAACTGTATTTAATTTGATGCTCTGAACTAACAATTCATGCAGTAAAAGCACCATCCAAGAAAGAACATATGTATCATAGGAACCACCTCAGACTGAAAAGAGGCTTTTTGCTCTTTTCTCTTGTCTTTTTTATTCCTTTTTTTCCCCCAGTTGCTGTTACTAATTTTTAAAGTCTGATAGCTTCAAAGACACTTCAAAATAATCTTCAGTACTTTTTCATACTATCAGAAAATATAAAACCTGATTTTTAATCTCACTTGTGTAGTTATAATTCCAGAATAACTCTACTAGAATAAGTGAAGCTACACTTACGCAAAACCAGTGAGAGACAAGAATCAGGTTCATGATATCTCACCATGAAAAAGCTGGTTGCTTTTTCAGTTAGAATAATCAAAGGACCAAGAAACAAAGAAACATGTGATTTGGATGCCTTCACCTTTTTACATTTTCATCTTGAGTTGTTTTTAAGAGGCTTGATTTTCAGAGGTCAGAAGAAGAAAAGTGTACTGGAAATCAGGCCTCCTTGAAGTGCCCCACACTAGAAAATGAAGCATCCAAAACCACCAGCAGTTTTTGAAAATGTTAGTCTTGCGGCTCTAGGATCTTCTCCCAAAACAGCTGTTCCAACAAAACTCCCGCAGGAGTTTGACCTGGCCAAGCAGGGCAGGATCAGATCCATTGCCTGTCACTACATAGGTGCACTGAAGGTACACTCTGTGAGAAATTACACTTCCCTAAGAGTTACAACATAAAACTCTGTCCCTGCCCCCATTCCCCACACTGAGAATTTTGTCTCTGAATCCAGTGGGAACAGGGTCAGACTGTGAGAGAAGTTAATTT